ATACAACGCGTTTCCTGATTGGTTAAGCAAGCCAATGTGAAACGACGTACGTCAAATTCAAGAAAATAAATTTTTACTTCTGCTTCATTTCAGGTTATCTTGTTGGAGTGCGTCGCGATACGCCCATGTACACTTGAAAGCAGTACGCAAATACAGTGAATTAAAGATACCTGATCACGTAGAAAGTGGAGGGCGTGTCTGCTTGTGATAGGTGTCTATGCCTATGCTATATTTTCTGTAATTGTTTTTAATATATTAATCTTGTAAATTTCATTTCGTGATTATGTAAATATGACGTTATTTAAATTATCTGGCAGCAGATTTGGATTGGCTAAAAATGGAATGCAGGCAGCATATTGAAAAGTATGTCACCGACAAAATTGACGCATGCGCAAACGATATATAGACTTTCCGTCTATGAGAAACGCTCCATCTAATTTTCAAGAAACTAATTGAAATCTATTATGGGCTAGGCACTTAATTGAAATGAGTGCTATGCGCGGCGGTTTGGACCGGTTTTAACAAAGATTTTCGTAGTAACAGTGTCTGACTTCAGTTGTACACAGTATCTACCAGAAGCTGGTATTATAGAAGAATGGCTGTCAGTTAATATTCTATGATTTGTGTGTTTATACTAGCATGAACACGTTCATATTGCGCATGCGTACATATTTGTCACTTATTGTGCCCCAGAGTTGTTAATAAATGCCAAAGTATACACTATTTGTTTCAGCCTGCTTGTACAGTTGACCAGATTCTTGAAATACACGATTAGACTTTGTTCTTGAGTTAACATTATTTTTTTGTTCACGGCCTTTTTCAAATGTACTAAATAGATATTGACTTCAGCATTTTGCCTTCAGTCACAATTACCCGAGTTCAATCATCTCAACACATAAACTAAAATACTGACGATCAATCCAAGATTGAATTTTATTTTTACCTTGCCCGTACCATCAAAGATGGAAGGGAAAGGTATATTAAGGGAAAAATTATGTCCGGCGTTGTCGTTGTCCTTGTCGTCGTCGTCGTCGTCGTCGTCGTCGTCGTCGTCGTCGTTAATAATTGTTATTGTGTGCATAATAACTTTACTAATTCTATTCCAATCAAATTTGGTCACCTTACTGTATTCATCAGTATAAAGTCTGAACTTTATAAAGTTTGAACAACAGATGTCCTGTATGAAATAATCATGCAAAAATTGAGAAAATCTGATAAAATATTTTGACTGTTTCTACTTGACTGATCACTGGTGATACACATCAAAGGTCACTGATGTCAGTGGAAATATGCATTGTTGTATGTGTTCAATGAAGCAAATGATTTATCTTGTAATTTATCTCAGAATCCCATACTGGGTTTCAAAACCAACTCATGGAGAAATTGCACAGTCTGATACACATTTGCAAACCTACCAATAAAATCTTTACAGAAAACAAGATGTCAGAAAATCAATATAAGCACTCCTATGAACTGGGTGCCAAACTTTGATCAAGATCAAATACATAAAAAGCAAAACATTTCATCCACATTTTAAAAAGAAAATTGTTCTAAAATATATGTATTCTGTATTTGACAAACAGTTCATTCGACAAATGAAAACTCACAGGAATATGTTTCAGCTATTAGAACAGAATGATAGAGGTTTTATAATATAGGTTTAAAAACGCACTTCAAAGATTGCAGTGTTTGAAGATGTAGATTCTCAGGAGGCAACAGTACAGTTGACTTCTCCCTCCACTGGACACCAACTAACTATTTAAGTTGATTTGCATACAAAGCAGAGCTTGCAACATGATAGCTATTCATAAAGGGTGATATCTTCAATTCTCTAATTTTGGTGAATATTTTTGTCATTTTTGGTAAAAAGTGATATTTTCGACTTCTTGTTAAAAACCGCAAGTGCAATTGATTTGATATTACATATATAGGTACTACATGTGGACCTCTCTCAAGTTTGTTCATTTTGTAATGATATCTTTAATTCTCTAATTTTGGTGAATATTTTTGGTAAAAAGTGATATTTTCGACTTCTTGTTAAAAACCGCAAGTCCAATTGCTTTGATACTACATGTGGACCTCTCTCAGATTTGTTCATTTCGAGATGATATCTTCAATTCTCTAATTTTGGTGAATATTTTTGTAATTTTTGGTAAAAAGTGATATTTTCGACTTCTTGTTAAAAACCGCAAATCCGATTGTTTTGATATTACATATATAGGTACTACATGTGGACCTCTCTCAGATTTGTTCATTTTGTGATGATATCTTCAATTCTCTAATTTTGGTGAATATTTTTGGTAAAAAGTGATATTTACGACTTCTTGTTAAAAACCGCAAGTCCGATTGCTTTGATATTACATATATAGATACTACATGTAGACCTTTCTCAGATTTGTTCATTTCGTGATGATATCTTCAATTCTCTAATTTCGGTGAATATTTTTGTCATTTTTGGTAGAAAGTGATATTTTCGACTTCTTGTTAAAAACTGCAAGTCAGATTGTTTTGATACTATACATATTGTTCATTTTCTAATGATGTCTTCAGTTCTTTAATTGAAATGTGCATTGCTAACAGCGGAGCTATCTCAGCCGATAGGCTGCTTGTACAAGATACTTGGACAAAAGCCAGCTAAGATTTTCTGTTATCTTGCATGTTTTATGAATCTATTCACGTCTAAATGCAGCCTTTTTTTGAGATGGGGCATTTGTTTTTATACTAAAATATCAGAATTACTTTGAATAAAGCTGGAAATTATGTCCCTTAAAATAATTAAACAAATAAGGCACCAATGTTTTTGTAAGATATTTGCATCTTTAATGGACATTCGGTAGACTGATTCCCCACTGTTGGTTCAACCCCAAAACTTGTTTGTATTCAAAATTAATTATGACAATGCATATTTATATTGAAACAAACTATGATAAAGGGAATTATATTATATAACAAAGGGCAAGGGCACCAGAGTTCAACTATGTTTATGTATTCCGTGGTTACCTATACAAGATGTAAATAATTTGTGGCTCAAATAAAATAAAATGAAACGTCACTTCAAGGGCAAGGCCGCCATGGTTGTAACCGTACGCATGAAGCTGAATGGAGACTTTAGCTCCATGGCAACCACACCTTGCCGTGTAATGAGGTGGCGTTGGAGTTAGAGAGACAATGTTCATATAATTTTGTTTTAAAATGTAACTTCGAGTTGATTTATCGTAAAGGTTGCTGTGGCAGCAAACTCTGTATTTGTACGAATTGCTTGTACGTACAGGTTGTTCTAGAACGCATGCGCATTTGCGTTTTATAATACTATCTCAAGAGAACTGTTTAGTTTTCTTCCCAAGCTACATCGAGATGGTTTCCGTTAATATGTAATATCAAACAGACTTATTTAAAAATGTTCAAAATTACTCTTTATAATTTTTACGTTTTCTGTCAGTTGATAAAAGTGTACTTTTAGTGACTATACATTTATGTATTTCCGTTAGACGTCTTTTTTCAGTGATCTGTAACATTGTTTACAGTAGAAACCAATTCATAAGTAAACATAATTTTACTATTGTTCAATATATTTGGTCAATGTAAATATGTTGATTTAAACAAAAATGTTGATCACTAGCCTATTTTTAAAGAAGATGATGATTATAGTTCGGTGATTGGCGGCCATTTTGTAAATACGGTTGTTCATTTGGTTTCCATGGTGGAGGTGCTACGTGAACGATTAATATGTCGTGAATTATGTCGGGGATTGAAAAGTGACAATCATACACACGTTTATACAATGTTTATAACAATGTTTGGCTAGTTACCACCCAAATACAGTAGAATGTTGTTTTCACGGAATCGTACATCTAACCCAGTGAAGATTCTCAGCGATTTTTGAGCAACTTTCTTTAAAACTTAGAAATATGTTCCCTTAGGTCAGTGAACTGTTAGTACGAACACTGTGGCGGTCAGTCGGAACCACGCTCGGTTTTCTTCTCACAATAATCATGGATTTCAAAATATTTATTTACTATTTCTTGCAAAGAATGTTCAACACCGTATCAATGCTGCTAACTTTTGGGAACTCAGTTACGGTGTGGCAAGGCAACTGCTTTTGGTGGCCATTTTTTCAAAAGAATGGATTCATATATCAGAAATGTCTTGGAGCAAACAAGCTCAAACTTCACATACACACACACATCAGACATCCTATCTGACAAACGCACGTGCATTTTTGTCACCGTCAAATTCAAAATGGCTGACTGTCTATCATCCTGTTTTAACAAATGCAGTTCCACAGAACCATATGCCATACATACCTGGACCAATCAAGTTCAAACTTCACACATACCTCACCCACCAGGTCATAATGTAAACGGGGCTATGACATTGACAATGACTTGTTTGTTCGCATATATCTCATATTTATCTTTACCTTGTGGTAGAAGCCTACTCATAAATTACAATACTCAGAATTTATTCATTTTGCGATAAACTGTACTCCAAGGCAATATACGAATGTTGACCTAAAAAAAGGTTTGGGGTCACCAGCCTTTTTTTCGAGAAATTGATGGTTGTATTTTAGTGGAAAGTCGCCATTTTGACACTATTATAACACTTTTACCACAGGTTCCTATGGCAGAGATATTATGCAATATCTCAAAATCTAGTTTGGTGACATAGGCTAAACAAATCATATATTGTTAATGATGGAGTACTTTTTGTTGTTCTGAAATATTTAAAAAATCTGGGTTTTAAAAAGTGTCAAAAGTGCAATTTTTCTTTAACATTGTGTTCTATGGAATTGTTCTAAAAATAGCAATTTTCAAGAAATATTAGGTTACATTTCTCAAAAAAGCTTAACTGTAACACACAGTTTCACACGCTATTTCATTGTACCATAGGACATTAGCTTCATGATTGCACATAATAAACTAAATAACATTGTCATGCGATTTATGACCAATTTTGTCAAAAATTATGACTAGGCTTCTATATATATTTATAAATTACAAATACAAATCTCGAGTGATGACGTACTATACAGATATAATCATTTTGTACACAGTAGTCACGTGTCAGCATTACAGCCAGTTTATTGGTTTTTTTCTTCTGCTGTTATAAAGTATGTTTAATGTTGATTTCCTTATTACTATTTGATACCACGTGATGTAGTTTTGTTGATTTGATTCACTGACTATAGCTAGTTATTTCCTTATATGGTGATAATGTTGACTGGCAGTCATTTTGTGCATGGGCTGACATGTCGACCTTGAAGAGCCTGAGGGTAAGGGAACACTTTTTTTTGTGTTCTTTGAAAATGGATTTGTCGATTTCAGCTATGTATACAATTTGTATTGGTACATTCGTAGTGCGACATTACAAAATATTGTAAATAACCCTCATTTCGTAAATAAAAAAAAATAATTCCTATTAGAAATAGTTTTTTCATTATTTTCCTTTCCAAAAATAGCTAATTCGTATGCCCATGCGTCTGTATCCACCTGTATTCGCTGCACCGATCAAGCCCAAACTTAACCTAAATCGCACATTTTATGCGCACACGCATTTGTGTCATGATTTGTTTCAAGATTGACGAATTTTAAGGCCAAAAATGCAGAACATAGTATATTTTCTAAGAAACTGGATCTCAGTAGTGCGTGGACGTATTTAGTGCATACATTGAACACAATGGAACC